GTTGTCCACACCCTGCTTTGGGGTGTTGCAGGCTGCAAAGGAGGTGGGGAGGAGCACTGCACTGTCTTATTTCAGGACAGAAGGGATGCCCAGGTCCATGGAAAATCCCCTGTAAGCAGTCCCCATATCCCCTGAGTATTACTGGGAATCTTTAGACAAGATCACCACCGTTTGCTTGTTGCCTTCCCAAACTTGGAAAACACAGTCTGGATGAGCTAGGACTGGTGCTACAGGCACCTCCCCAGTGCCTGGACTAGGACAGAAGTTGCTCAGTCAGGTCATTAAGAGCAGAGACAACCTACCATACTGTCAAGATGGACTGAATGTCTAAGATGCATGAAATAAAATGTCAACTGTGCCTTCATCCTTTAGAGAGACCTCTTCCAGTGTGGCCAGGTCATTATTTGGGTACATGCTGTCTATCCAGGACAGCTGGCAGCTGTCAGCTCTGCTGCAGCGAGACTCAGACCAAGTTACCCCCGATGAGAACCTGGCTTAGTATTGTTGGTGATGTGGTTTATTTTTGTGCCGCTTTGTGCAGCCCTGTCTCTTTCAGAAGTCTCGCTTGCCTGCAGAGTGCAATCCATTGCAAAATAGTAAGTTCCAAAGAATGAAAAGATACTCCCTTCCTGCAGGGTAGGAACACTTTTAAATGGTCAGGACCATACATCTGAAAACTGGGAGCCAGAGGCAGAGGCAAAGACATCCAAAAGGAGAGAAGCAGACAAAGAGGGATAAGAACAGAAAGACCTGTTTTCCCAGAATGATTTGTGATATTTCCATTTATGGAGAAAAGCAATCCACTGAAAGCTTTTCTTCGGTATCACTCTCTAATTTAGCAGAAGTTTTGGCATGATAGCTTCTAGAGAAATAAATAAAGGGGGCTGGATATAACTGTTGCCTCTAAAAGCTGAGAAAGATGGCTTGGTGTTGGCCAAAGATTCAGTATCTGTTTCCATCACACACTCCCTGTATCATTTTAGGCAAGCCACTTAACCCCCCTCTTCTTTCACTCGAAATGGGAATAATGGTGTTTCCCTGCCTCGGGGAAATAGCCTGAGGATACTTATATTAAACATATGAAAGTGAACAGACACTGGATCATTTGGGCCAGATAATTGCCCCCACTGTCTAGGTCAAATGTAACATGCTGATTTTTGATGCGACCTTCTCCCCGCGTGAAGGCTGTGCACAAGTTCTTAGAAGTTCCCACTTGTGATTCCTGCCTTAGGAGTAAACTTTGTTGCAGATTGAACTACATTTGATATCTACCCATGAAAGATATACGAGAAATGGCAGGTAGTCAGCCACAAGCACAAACATTTCTTTCTGCTCCATGACTGTTTCTGAGCAGAATCCGTTTGGTACCAGGTGGTGAAGTGGGGCTCAGAG